GTGCCTGCCCACTGCTGGGTGAAGCTTGGTCCTGAACCTCTGGTGGATAGGGCCATGCCTAAGGGTGTGCCTAGGTTTGTGGCTCAGGAGGTCTGCTGATGGGTGGGGCTGTGTTCCCACCCAGTATGTTGTTTGGCCTGAGGCTTCCCTATGGGTTGTTGCATGGGCCTAGTTCTTGGTGCTAGTGATCCAAGCAAGATGTCAGCCTCCAGGAAAGCTCATGTAGGTGAACACTCTGGAATGTCTGCCACCAGCTTTTATGTCCCCTGGGTGAGCCGCAGCCGTCCCCTGTGTCTCAGGAGACCCTCCGAAACCAGCAGGCAGGCCTGGCCCAGGTTCCTGTGAAATCACTGCCTCTGCCCTTGGGCCTGGCGCATGCGAGATTCTGTGTACACTTCCCAAGAGAGTAAAGGCTCTGTTTCCCTGGTCCCGTGGGGCTCCTGGAGTTAATCCCTGCTGGCCTTCAAAACCAGACGTCCTGGAGTCTCCTCCTCCTCCCAACACTGGAACCCTGGGCTGAGGAGCCGGATGTGGGGCTCAGAACTCTCACTCCTGTGGGAGGGCCTCTGTGACTTAATTAGTCTTCAGCTTGTGGGTCGCCCACCCAGGGGGTCTGGGGCCCAATTATATCACAGGCACGCCCCTCCTATCTTCTTGCTGTGGTTCCCTCTTTGTGTTTCCAGTTGAAGAAGATCTTTTTTGCTAGGCTCCAGTCCTTTTTCTCGATTGTTGTTTAGCATTCAGTTGTGGTTTCGTTGTAGTTGAGAGGAGAGGCGAACTCCTGGCCCTACCGCTCCGCCAGCTTGACTGGAAATCAGCAGCACAGTTTGTTTAATTTTAAATAAACTTGAATAAAGTTAGAAGTTTGGTTCCTCGGTGGTATCAAGCCCCGTTTCAGGGCTCAGTGGCCCCGTGTGGCCAGTGCCCGCCCACCGTGTCAGGCGGCTCCGAGAGAGCGTTTCTGTCTTGGTGTCCAGCTCTCCAGCGCAGCCCTGGTCGGCTCCACCCAGTGCCCCGGAGTTCAGAGTAAAGTAGGGGCAGAGCAAGGAGGACTTCAGGGTTTTGGATGTGTGGGCTGCAGTGGGCTGTCTGCAGGTGAGGGAGTGGCTCGGGGTCTAAGTGGAAGAGTCTAAGTGGAAGAGTCATTCGGGCATCGCCCCGTGTCCGCTGGCAGCTGGTGTCAGGCGGGGTCCACCTCCAGCTTCTGCAGCTTCTGACAGCCTGTGCAGTGTGTCAGCCTCTTACCAGCGTTTGCTTGGAGTCTGGATGCGTCCCTGAAAACAGATGCCTTAATTCTCCTGTCTAGACCCTAACAGAAAGAGGAGACAGAGTGGACCCATCACTTGTAGATGAGGTACCAAGTGTGGAAGGCAGGTTTTTGTCCTGCTGTTAAGACTGCACGTCTCTGTTTCAGGTATCGAGAACCTTCCCTGTGAACTTCAGAGGAACTTCCAGCTGATGCGAGAGCTGGACCAGCGGACCGAAGGTGGGTTCCCACTGTAACGTGCAGCCAGAGCTGGGCCTCGAGGCAGTGGCCCAGGCTTCCAGGGGCCTGGCGGGCCGCAGTGGGGCTGCAGGCATTGGGTGGAACCTTAGAGAGAGTGCTGATTCTTCAAAACCAGGCTTTGTCCCCTGCACTCTCACACACCTTCAGTCACGTCGTCGTCACCGCCGTCTCCTCCTTGCAGTCAGTGTACTCATTACCTTTTCTTCCCTCTGAAAGATTTTCTGTTTTCAAACTATGTGTACACAGTTTAAACAGGACTTCTTGGTCTCTTAGTGCTCAGCTCCCCATTTCTAAGCATCATGTTTTGCTGCTATTTCTTCTGTTTCTTTTTGGTTTTAGACTTTATCTATTCGGTTATTATGGAGAAGGAATATTTCTCTCCAGCCACGCCCTGCTCAGCCCACCTCCTCCTCCCTGTCCCTGGGTGTAGTCGGAGAGAATTTGAACGGTGGTGGCCCCATGATGGTGTCTCCTTCGGGGCCGCTGTGTCTGTGGTTTACAACTGAGCCTCACCATGTGCTATGCTCACGTGACCTTTTTTGAGTAACTTTTTCTCAAAGTTCCTAATTGCTTTGCTTGTTGGTTTTGTTTTTGGCATTTTCAGTGTGTCTTCTGCACCAGCTTACCTGGCAGTTCTGTGTCTGCTCTCCACGGAGATCCTTTCCTGGAGCCTCTCTTGGGGGCCCCGTCTGGACTGACTCTTTCTGGGCCTGCCGCACAGGCCTCACCCTGGCTTTTCCTGGGTGCTCCCTTCCATCCTCTTTGCTGTGGAACCCTGCTTCCTAGGTTGTAATTACCCTGTATCTTGATTTGCACCTTTGTTTCAGAGGAGCCTTTTCTCCGGTAGCTTCCTGAAAAGGGGGTACACGGGAAGGTAAATGTCTTACGATGCTGCGTGTCTGACAAAGCAGTGGCGAGCAGTTTGGCTGGGTGTGGCAGGCCTGGTGGAGTCACCTCCCCTAGAGCGTGGCAGGCATGGCTGTGCTGGCTCCTGGCTTCTGTGTTTCTGTCGAGAAGCCTCATGCTGTTGGGCTCCTTGCCCTTTGTCCGCGTGGTCTTTTTTCCCTTTCCTGTTTGAAGCTTGTAGGCTTTTCTCTTGATCCCTGAGGTTCTGTGTTTTGTGGTGGCTCCGTGGGCGTGGGTGATTTTATGTTCGCTGTGCTGGGCACGTGTTTTGCAAGGTTGGAACAGCTGTGGTTTTTCACTGAGGTACAGCCTCCTGAGTGGCCAGTGCAGAGACTTCTTTTATGGTGAAATAGAGCATTTACATTTAGAAATAAGCATAAATGTTTATAGATCACTTAACAAATGACGCCTGGGGAAGTTCTCCCCACATGAGAAAAAGCCTCTGGCGCTGGGGGCCTGTGTGTGACTCTCCTGAGTAGCCCCTTCCCCCCAGGCCTGCCCCCGAGTGTCCACTTGCAGCAGAGTTTCCACCCTAACGTCAGTGGAATCGCGTAGTGTGTTTTTTGCGTGTCTTCTTTCCTCCTCCAGGGCCCCCTTTGGTGGGAGTAATCCATCTTGTGTCTTTTTGTTGCTGGGTAGCGTTCTGTTGTGTGAACGGACCACAGTGTATCTGTTTGACTGTGGACTGGACATTTAGGTTGTTCCCTGATTTCTGCAGTTACAAGTGTTTCCCTGCAGGTCCTGGCTCTCGGTCTTTAGGGTACGTGCCTGAGAGTGGGGCGCTACATCCCAGGTAAGGTGAGCTCAGGATTTCGTATTGAAACAAGGACTCGGGAGAGTCCCAGAGGGCACGGTGAACCCTTGCTGGGACAGCAGCTGCAGCTGGGGCTGCCCTGGACAGATGGCCCAGGTCGTGGTGTCTGCACAGTGTCCAGGAAGGCTGTGCCCCTGGCCCTGCTGGCAGCCCTTGGAGTCCAAGCCGATGCTGCTCTGCGGGAATTGGCGTTGTCAGTGTTATCGGTCTCCGGTCGGGTGAGCGGGTCCTGGGATTGCGCCAGGACTAGCTTGTCACTTGTTCCTCTGTCAGATAAGAAGGCGGAGATCGACCTCCTGGCTGCGGAGTACATCTCCACGGTGAAGACACTGTCCCCGGACCAGCGCGTGGAGCACCTGCAGAAGATCCAGAGCGCCTACAGCAAGTGCAAGGAGTACAGTGACGACAAGGTGCAGCTGGCCATGCAGACCTACGAGATGGTGAGCAGGGCTGGCAGGGCCGCCACTCCTCCCTTCCCCGTAGCCAGGGCAGAGCCGCTCAGGAGGGTGCATCGAGGTGGAGGAGAAAGGACAGACGGGAGGTGCCCTCCCCTGGGGACGTGCTGCAGCCTTGTTTCTCTGCCCTTTTTGCTTGTTTATTTCGTTCGGGAAACTGTTCATTTTTGTATATTTTTAAACGCTTGTTTTTGTCAGCCTCAGGTGAAGGCCTGGAGTTTGCCCCCAGGTCAGCCTCACTCAGGGCCCACATGGTGGCGCAAGGCTGCTGCCCCCGCGATACACACGAGGCCGTGTAGTGAAGCCCCCGCCCCAGTAAGACAGGCAGTGATGTCTGAAACCCTGAACTGACTGTATCTGGCCGAGAGCACTCTGGAAGGAGACCTAGTGCTTCTGTTTGGGATTCGGCGCCCAGAGCACTAACCCTTTTGAGAAAGCAGGCTGTTTTCCAAGGAGTTAGGTTTGCTCAGCTGTGGCCAGGGTGGTCATGTTTCCTCTTGGCCGCGTGACGGAGCTGAAGATGGTGGTTTGTTCCCGACGAGGGTGTCCTGGTCGCCTTGTCTTCGCCCCTCCCACTGGGCCACGAGCCGGCTGCTGCTTTTCTCGGGACATCCTTGTCACGGTGGCTCCTCCGTTACGAGTCGTGGGGTGACGTCAGCTCGCTGTCCCTCCTCCGAGTCGTGGGGTGACGTCAGCTCGCTGTCCCTCCTCCCAGCGCCATCCTGGCTTCTGTTTAGGAACCCAGACGTTTTCTCAGTCAGACTTCGGCGCCGAGTGCCCTGACCTGCGTTGTGTCTCACGGCTGCGTCCTCATTACCCCGGGTCTCTTCCTGGGTAGGGTCTGCTCTACCCCGTGCCCAGCGTGTGGGAGACAGAGACCCCTGCGGCCACCTCCAGTAGCGGAGCTTGATAATTCAAGACTGATCGAGGGCAGGACCTTGCCTGTGCTTGGCTCCGGGAGCCTTTGTGACCCTGCCGCCCGCTGTCCCGTCTGACACTGTGCATGTCCTTCCGTGCAGGTGGACAAACACATCCGGAGGCTGGACGCCGACCTGGCTCGATTTGAAGCTGACCTGAAGGACAAGATGGAGGGCAGCGACTTTGAGAGCTCCGGAGGCCGAGGGCTAAAAAGCAAGTCTGCTCACTTTCCCTCGCGCTGCTGCCGTGAGCCCTGGGTTGTGGTGTGTCGGAGTGAGCTCGCGGCACCCTGCAGACGCCACATCTGGCTCAGTCGTGTTCAGTGGCTTCTGTGAACACTGTCGGATCTGTCTTGTTTCAGAAGGTCGGGGTCAGAAGGAGAAGAGAGGCTCCCGGGGGCGTGGCAGGAGGACCTCGGAGGAGGACACCCCAAAGAAGAAGAAGCACAAAGGAGGGTGAGAGGCGCGTTTCCTCTTTTTCTGCAGAGCACTTCTCAGCATTTTCTCAGGGTCCGTCGGCTCAGGACGAGGAGGCGCTTAACTCCCGCTTCCCCTGCACGGTGGCCGGCCCTCCCCGCGACTCCCGGCTCCCGGCGTCAGAGCTGCGGGCGCCGGGCGGACTGGCCTTCTGACTCCAGACCCTTCTCTCCGCCGGCTGCCCTGCCTCTTGATTGGCCCGGGCGGTGTGGCTCCAGCCAAGCTAAGCCGCTTTCTCGGAGTGAGTAGCTGGCTGCTGATGGTTTTACACACAAATACGTATTTTAGAATCTATTCGTTATTAAATGTGGGATGCATTTATTAAACATACGTGTCACTGAACTCAAGCTTCAGAATATTTCCTTTAAAGCACCCACCCCTTGCTCCCACCAAGCCCCCAAGACACTGTAGCAGGGCCTCCTGGACGTGATGTTTAGACCACCGAGAAGATGCTGAAGCACCAGGTGGCTTCTGTGGAGGTGACTCACAGTTCTGGGGAGAGAGGGCTCAGAAGAGTTAGTTCTTGACACAGTAAGGGGAAAGTTTTGGTTCTTAAACCTGGTGTTTAAACTTTCATCTTAAAAAAAGCCCCAAACCCCACCGTCACTTTGTAAAGCAGCACACGATGCAGACGACTGCACAAAACAAGCATGTGGTTCGAAGACGTAGCGTCAGAGGCACACCTGTAACTGGCGCCGGGTCAGGGACTGACCGCCCAGGGGCCCTCCCTGGGCCTGTCAGAATCACCGTGTCCTCCTGGCCCCAGGCACACGCCCCGGATGGACGGGGTGTTTACTTCCACTCTTTCTTTGTGTCTTGTCCCCCCATGTGCATTCTTGGACAGTGAGTTGAGACTTGCTGGGTTTTTTAACCCTTTAAATTAACTTCAATAAAATGGTCTCATTTTAGGTATACAATTTGATGCTGTATCCACTTCTTTAAAGTTACAGAACTAGTCACCTTTCTATTTCTTCTTGGGTCAGTTTTGGTAATCTATAGTTTTCAAGGAATTTGTTGTTTCCTGTAAGTTGTCGGATTTATTGGCATCATTTATTCGTGATGTTACGTTATTACCCTTCTGATGCGGAGTCTGCCCTGACGATCACTCTCAGACCCGATGTTGGTGCTTTACGTCTTCTCTCATTTGCTGTGGTCTTTTCGGAAAACTAGCTGTTGGCTCTCTTAATTTTTGTTTTTTTCTATTGTTTGTTTTCCTTTCGTTCATATCTTTAGTAATTCTTTCCTGCTGCTTAATTGGATTCACTCTGCTTTCCTTTGTCTAGGTTTTTAAGGTGGAAATAGCTTAGGTTATTGATTTTCATACCTTTTTTTCTTATATAAATATTTAAAGCTACAGGTTTTCTTTTAATTACTATTTTAGCTCCATCCCACAGATTTTGATGTTGTGTTTTAATTTTTTTCCATTCAAAATGTTTAAAATTTTCTTCTGTGGCTTTTCTTTGACCTGTAGCTTACGTAAGAAGTATGTTTCTCAGCTTCCAGATAGTTTGAGATTGCCCAGGTAGCTTCCTAATTTAATTCTGCTGTGATCAGAGAACATTCTATAACTGAAATCATCTGAGAGAGACTAAGATTCATGTATGGTGAACGGTCTGTCTTCTGACTGTTCCGCGTGGGCTTGGAAGGAGTGCGGGTAGGTGTCCGTTGGACAGCTGGCAGACGGTGCCGTCCAGGGTTTCCGTGTCCTACTGGTAGCCTGTCTCCTGGTTCTCTGAATGACTGCGAGGAAGGTTGGAGGCCCCGTCTTAAGTCGTGGATGTCGGTTTGTCCTCGCTGCTTGTTGGCCTGCTCCCTGTGTTTTGAAGCTCTGTTGTTTGGTGGTACATACACGTTTAGGTTTTTAAAAAATAACTGGCCCCTTTATTGTGATTTATCTGTTTAGTCCTCGAAACCTTCTTTGTCTTGAGGTCTGCTTTGTCTGACACGCCTGTAGCCATTCCAGGTGCTGTATGGTGAGTTTGCACGTGCTGTCTCTCCTGTTTCATTCTTCTGCTTTCACCACTTTGTGTTGTATTTAGACTGAGCTTCTTGAAGGCAGCACATAGCTGACTTGCTTTTTTATCTAGTCTGACAATTTCTGTCTTTTCATCGCAACGTTTGCACTGTTCAGATTTAACATGATTAGTGATGTGGTTGGGCTAAAATTACTGCCTTGTGTTAGCTGTCTCTCTCCCACCTGTTCTTTTCATGTCTTCTTTTGGATTAATCACACATTTTTTCAGTATTCGGTTTTAAGGGCCGAATACTTAGGCTCTGTTGTGTACACCTTGTTTTATTAACTTACCGCAGTGAACTTCAAATAATGCTGCACTGCTCACGTTTGGTGTCAGAGCCTGCGTGTTCTTTGGTTTTCTGCCTCCTGTCCTGTGTGCTGTTATCAAACTGTCACTTCCACATCTGGTGTAAGCCTCCCAGTGTGCTGTTACTCTTTCAGTCTGAGCCGCAGATTGTCTTAAACAGATTTTAAACACGAGAAGTGTTTTGTCGTCGCTCCATGTCTTGACATGTCCAGTGCCCTTCACTTTACACGGATGCAGATTTCCAGCTGATGTCTTTTCTCTTCTGCCTGAAGAACTTTCTTTAACATTTTTTACAGTTCGGGCCTGCTGGTGGTGATGAATTTTCTGTTTTTGTTTCTCTGAAAATGTCTTTGTTTTACCTCCATTTTTGAGGGATATTTTTGTTGGATGTAGAATGTTAGGTTGACTTTTTTTCTTTCATCACTGCAGATGTCCTTTTTTGGCCCATTTGCATTGATACTGATGAGAAATTCGTGAGAATTGTTATCTTTGTCGTTCTGTATGTAAGTGGCTTTATTTTTGCTGCTTCTGAGATTTCCATTGAGTAACAATTTTTCACAACTTAATTAAGATGAGTCCTGCTGTAAGTTTTCTGTGTATTCTGGTTGGAGCTCATTGAGCTTCTGGGAACTGTTAGTTTATAGTTTCTGTCAAATTTGGGAAGTTTTCAGTTTTTCAGTTTTTTTTCCTGGTCTCCTTTCTCCTTTTAATGGGATGCCAGGCGCCGAGGCTCTGCTTATTTTCTGGCCACACGTTTTCTTTCTGTGCTTCAGTTTGGGTAGTATCTATTGTTTTCTCTTCATGTATTTCTTGGTGTTTAATTTAATCTTAATCTCCTTTAGAGACTCTTTTATTTAACAGATTCTCTTTTCAAGGTCTATTTCTTTTTTTATACCTGCCATTTCTCATTCATATTTTCCTCTATATCTTTGAATGTATCTATTTAAAATAGCTTTTGGGGGGAAGTTTTTAAAAATTATTTATTTTCTGGGGCAAGGTAATTAGGTTTATTTTTTTATATTTTTGATGGAGGGACTGGGGACTGAACCCAGGCCCTCGTGCAGGCCAAGCATGTGCTTCGCCACTGAGCTACACCCTTCTGACCTGATTTTGATTCCTTTTTGAAAATTTCCCATGTTCGCATCCATCGTATTTACATTTTCTTTATAACAGGTACTCATAGCCCTTGTCTGCTGGCTTTACCCTCTGGGTCTCCTGTGCACCTGCTGTCAGCCAGCTTTTCTCGATTTTCACTCCCATTTTCCCGCTTTTCTCCCGTCACGTGGCTTTCTCATTGTCTGGCCTCAGAGGGGCCCAGGAGCAACATCTTTGCTCTTCCCTAGAGAGTTTCCCCGTCCTTGTTCCGGCAAGCTGCGCGGGTGGGAGCTGGGAGTTGGCGGTGAGGGGAAGCCATCCCCAGCTCTTGGTGGAGGACCCAGCATGTGTGTTTTGCTACCTGAATGGCTGTCCACGAGTGATGCTCAGCTTTCCTTTCTGCCCCGTTGCCGGGGCTGGAGGGGAGGGCTGGGTGGAGAGGTCTCGCTGCCCTTCTGTCACCCTGCAGGCCTGTGCCACCCTGGCCTCAGTAAATGGAATGTGGTGTCCCGGCCACCGGGTGTGAAGGTCCCCGGTGGGCAGCTGCCCCTCTGCTGAGCTCAGGGGACAGGTGCCCTGCCCCCTCAGCCCTCAGGCAGCCGGACCCTGTCAGACCACAGCTTTCTCAGGTCTTTAGAATCTGGTTTTAGAGACATGTGGGGTTTGGTTCCACCTGGTAGTGGCAGGAGGTTTCCACATCTCCCTGCCCCTTCCTGTACGGCCAGCCGTCTCTGGGGAAGGGCAGCTGTTCTCACCCCGGGGACCCTCAGAGGGACTGGGGCCCCGTGGGGAGGGTGGCCGGGAGTGGCATGTGCATGGCCTCAGGTGTCTGTGGCTGAGGCCACTCCAGCACCTGCCTGGCGGGCTGCTCTATGGCCAGGTGGGACCTGCGCGTGGACGCGGGGACAGTTCCTCCATAGCTCCTGGCGTCCCTGAACTCTGGTGAACGGGCCTCCCCTGCCAGGGGCCATGTGATGAGGGTCCTGGGAAGCCCAGGGTGGGGCTCGGGTGTGGGAGGGGCTCCTTGGCACTCACTGGTGAAGGGTGCCCACCTCATCCAGGGGAATTGGCTCAGTGGACACCACTGGTGTCCTGCAGGGCCAGAGCAAGGGGGCAGCAGTGCTGACTATGGGGTCGCCCTGGGCTGCCCAAGGGACGGACTCCCCAAACAGGGAAGGCCTTTGTGGGCCTGGCCTCCCTGTGACCCCCTGATTGCTTCCCTCCAGGGGTAGCAGCAGGCCCACCACCCTCCCAACCTGCAGCCCCCTCCAGGCAAGACTGCAGGATCCCCAGGCCCCCTTGCTGGTGAGGGATCCTTTCCAGGCCATCCCCTCCACCCCTCCAGCCTCTCCTGCTGCCACTGCATCCGGCTAGGGTCTGTGAACCCTGGTGACCAGGGAGCAGGTCAGGCGGCAGCTCAAGGTGTGAAGTTTGGGTGAGCTTTGCAAACAGTGCACTGAGCCAGTAACACACGGCTGTGACAAAGAGGAGTGACAGAGGCAGAGAGAGACAGACAGAGACAGAGACAGAGACAGACAGAGACAGAGAGACAGATAGACGGAGGGAGAGACAGAGATGGAGAGACAAGAGACAGACAGAGACGGAGGGAGAGACCGAGAGACAGAGAGACAGCACACACGCTGTGAGCTGGTCTGGGGACGGTCCTGGGCAGACCTGCAGGTGGCAGAGGCACAGGGTGTTTCCAGACGGTGGACAGGAGAGGGGTGAGCAGGGACTCCTGTGGGGCCAGATTTCCTTCGTTTCACCCTGGTCAGCAGGCTGAAGCTGCCTGGCCTGCCACTGCGTCTTAGCTTCCCTTTGCCTCGGTCCTCCTGCAGCCTGCTGGATTTGTGTGGCAGATGTGTGTTTGAACACGTGCACGCATTCCGGTGTTGAGGGTGACGGAGGGAGGATTTTCTTGTTTGGTGGGGATGTGCTGTCTGCCTGGCAGGCTGCTGCCTGCCGGTTTCCACGTGAGACAGTGAATCCCCCGAGTCCCCTCCCTTAACACAGGCGACGCCCCTCCGTCTCCTGCCGGCTCGGCTGCAGGGCTGTGGGCAGCAGCTGGAGGGGGTCTGGGCAGCGCGGGGTTCCAGCTGGGCTGCTGGGCAGAGACCAGAGGGACTGCAGGGGTGCCGGGGCCACAGGCCTGTTTCCTGGGGCGGGTGGGGGGCAGATGAAGGAGGCGTGCCATCAGAAGTGGCTCCCTGGGCAGTGGGCAGCTGGTGGGTGGTGGCGGGCTCCTGAGATCGGAGCCCCGGGGAAGGTGTGGGGAGCCAGGCCTTCGTGGGCTTTGGGCTGAGGGTTCTGGTGGGGATACACTGGCTGCTCTTGTTGAGGGGCGGGTACAGGGTGAGCTGCGAAGGCAGGGCCGTTCGGACGCCTGGGCCAATTGGATGGGATTCGGGGGTTCTCAGATGTTGCCAGGTGTCCACTGTGGGTGGTGATAGTGGGGGCAGAGGGGCAGGGAGCAGGTCTGGTGCAGGCAGAGGGGCGGGATGGGCATGGGTCCTGCCCAGGTGTGGGGACGGGACCGGATGGTGCGTGTGAGTGCTTCCCCTTCACACCTCGCAGACGCCTTCCTGCCATGTCTTTGCCTGGCTGTTGGGTGACCCTGCCCTCGTCTACCTGCAGGTCCGAGTTCAGCGACACCATCCTGTCCGTGCATCCCTCTGACGTGCTGGACATGCCCGTGGACCCGAACGAGCCCACCTACTGCCTGTGCCACCAGGTGTCCTACGGGGAGATGATTGGCTGTGACAACCCGGACGTGAGTGTCAGGCCGCCAGGCCGCGGGTAGTGTTGCACGGGGTGGGTGGGCGTCCATGGAGCGTGCAGCATGCTGACGGCCCCCCCCTTCGCCTTGCAGTGTCCCATTGAGTGGTTTCACTTTGCCTGTGTGGACCTGACCACGAAGCCCAAGGGAAAATGGTCAGTATGGGTGCCGGCGGGGTGGGTCCTGCTTCCCGGGGGACCTCGCCTGTCTCACCGGGGGTTGCCTCTTTAATGTTTGCATAACATGGTTGACCCTGGAACAACACGGTTTGACCTGTGCGAGTCCACTCATGCGGGTCCTGTCTGGTGAACATGGTACTTACTCCATGATCCGCAGGGGTGAGTCTGTGGATGTGGAACAAGGACACAGAGGACCTGTGGGTGTGGTGGACGGCTGACTGCGAGTCATACAGGGGGTGGTGCCCCAGCCCGCGTGGTTCAGGGTCGCTGTGCTTCCACATGTGCTCCCTTGAACGAGGGCCGCTCCGACTTGAGGGAGGGGGAGGTTGTCTCACATACAAGTGAGGAGCGAGGGGTTCCTCCCCCGGGAGACTAGAGAGGGACAAAGAAGAGGAGCAGGGGTCTCACCCAGGAGTGTGTGGGGGGGGTCTCACCCACGCACAGGTCCCGTGTGCGCTGCTGAAGGGCTTTCCATTTGTTTTCTCCGTCCTTGCGGCCATGTTCCATGCACAGTGGCTGCTCTCATGTAAATAAATACCTGGGTTTGTTTGCCCAAGCTGAAGTGACATCCTGGAAACGCTGCCCTCTGTGTTTCTGTGTGGAGCACCCAGTTTCCCTGTCACGAGGCTCATGTCGGGGCAGAGGGATGTTAGAAACCCTGAAGGACAGTCTGCGTTATCTGGGTTTTCAGTGGATGACAGGAGAGGCCAGGTGCTCACCTTTTCTGGAGCCACATGTGGTCTCAACCCCAAGGGTGCTCCCTCTGCACCAGGATGCCAGGGGCTTGCGGGGCATGGCAGCTCAAGGATTCCCTACGGCCGTGGGTGCAGGAACCCAGGGCAGGGTGCAGGTGGAGCTGGCAGCCCATGGGCAAGCTCAGACACCCCGAGAAGGGATGTGTGGGCTGGCTGGGCAGGAGGCAGGGAGGGTGTCCTTGGACATGGCAAGTTAAGAGTTCTCTGCAGGGCTTCTGGGTGGAAGAGTCTGGCAGGCGTTGGAAAATGGTTTCCTTCTGGGACATGAGGGGCTGTGCAGGCGGGGCTCCTACCATGTGTGCTGAGGACAGGGCAGGTCACGCAGAGGGGAGCCAGCCTGGGGCGCCACCCCTGCCCCCACTCCTGTTCATGGTGGTCCCTTCAGAGGCCACAGAGGGCAGGCTTCTCCCGAGGGTCTGCGCCCGTGCCTGGGGGCCTGCCTGTGGGCACCGCCGGGCAGCATCGCTCCCCCTGGGGCTGGCAGGGATGTGCTCACTCACTGGCCTGGGGCCTGGGCAGCTCCATCACATGTTGCCTCCTGCCCCGTGCACTCGGGAGGGCAGAGGTGGAAAGCAGCAGGAGCGACCCCTGTGGTCCTGGGGCTGCTGTGGCCCAGGAATGACCAAGAGCAGCCCCTGCCTGTGTCTCAGGCTCTGGAACCTGCTTGCCCAGGGTCACTGGGGAGCACTTGTTACCCTTGTTAATCGTGCTGACTCCAGGGCCCACTCAGCCGCTGCAGGGCTGGGCCGGAAGTCCGCACGCCAACCTGGTTAGGTGCCCGGCCACCCCCCACCATTACCTGGCCATCAGCACCTCCAGGGCACGGGCTGCACTGGCCCTGTCTCCTTTGATCAGGTAGCCGTGTCATCGCGCAGGGGAGGCTGATGAACTTGGCCGAGAGGGATGCTTGTGAGCAACCCCATTTTGTTCATCGATTTGCGCCTTATCTACCACCTTCAGAACAGACGTGCCAGACAGAGCAACCGCACCAGAGACTTCCCCCGACGGGAGAGCCGCACTCCCTGTGTTTGTGGGCCTCTCTTCTGGTGTGGCTTCACCAGTGTCCAGCCATCCTGGGAGATGCCGGGGAAATGTCTGGTGGAGAGAACCCACTGCTGTGCCTTTCTCGTCACAGGTTCTGCCCACGGTGCGTCCAGGAGAGGAGGAAGAAGAAGTAAGGGGGAGGCTGACATCCGGACCAGAAGAGCAAGTTAATATATTCCTTCATTCATGTTGCAATATTTTACCTTCGTTTTAAAACTACCTTATTTTGAATGATATTTAATAAGTCAGTGGCCAGTTGTAATTCTGGATATTTCCTGAAACAAACAAGAGTCCACCTGAGCCCTGTCTGCGCAGAGGAGCGATCTCATGGGACTTGCCACAGTGACTTCACTCTCGTAATTTTTTGTACAGACCCCCAAGCACTGGGCATGGCAGTGGTGCCGGGCAGCCCTGGGCCTCATGTGGGCACGCAGGCCCGGAACACTGCCATCATTTTGCAGCTGGAGCTGTGAGCCGCCCATCGTCCGTCTTGAGTCTCCTGGGGCCACTCTGCAGCAGCTCTGGTGCCCCCGCACACACACCTGACCCTCGCCCAGGCGCGGGTGTGTGGGATCCAGAAGCTGTGACCCGCCTGGGCAGGGCCGGCCCTCCCGGGCGAGGGTCTCCACCTCGCTGTGCACTGCCTTTCTGTCTGGACTCCCAGTTCCCTCCGTGAGGGGCTGACTTTCTGGAGTAAACGGCTCTTTGTTGGCACACGGGCTGTCGGTTACTATGACCAGTGCCGATAGGAGACAGCCTCACAGACGACTGACGTTCCGTTTCTCTGGGAATTCCTGACGTTTTACTGTGAAGATGAAATTATCGTGATTGCATGGAGGTAGAAGATAGTGGTCTGTGTGTGAAGTGAGTCCAGGCCGCTTGGAGCCGATTTGAAACCTGTTTACGTTGTGCGCCACATCAGCAGCCTAGAGCAAGGGACGGCAATTATGTGGTGTGATTTGTGAGTTTCTTGTGCCGTGGCAGCCGTTCTGGGGCGAAGCTGGGAAACTGGGGTGTACTTTCTTTCTCATCAGCATTCACCAAACCAAGTTTGAACGGTCTTTTTGCTCAGAGTTGGGGGAAATTGAATACATTTGGTGTGTTGAGATCCGTTTGTGATTGTACATAAAGAGTGACTTCTGAGTGTGTCCATGGACCCCGAGGCCCTCCAGCGGGGTCTGCAGAGGGAAGAAGCGAAACCCACCTTTGTCTTCATGCCAGAGGCCACGAGACGGACTTGGGACTGTATTCCCAACTGAGAAGAACCTCGTTTTTGTCATGAGGAGGGTGGTCTGGAAGGACACACCTGCCTCCTCCTGACAGCCTTGTTACTGTAGATTTTCCTCCTTTTTTCTAGTATTTCACTAAGGAGAGGAAATAAAGCAGAGGGGAACCTGTGAAGCAAGCTGTGTCCCCAGCGGGCTGCTCCCTGCAGAGCAGCTATTGTTTGGCCAGTGAGGGGGGCATCGTGGCAGCCCGGGTCTGCTGGAGTCTCACCTGTGACAGTCCGGACTGCGGTCCTGCCCTGAGCGAGCTGACTGAGTGACCGGGGCAGGGTCAGTCATCTGTGTGGCCCCTCCAGCTGGGCTGGGTGGTTGGGTGGAGGGTCCCCAGGCCAGCTGCTTTCTCAGAACCAGTGCTTCCCTGCTGCTCTGGAGAAGGGGGGCCTCAGCCAGAAACCTGGGGTGTTTGCATTTAGTGACTTAGCATTTCTTAACACAGCTGTTTAAAGACCGTGGGGAATAAATTGTGGGAATAATCTTTCCTTCACTCGTTTACCAGTTTTTGTGGAGAAGATAGGTAAGTAGAGTGAGTGTGTGATGATTCTTGAGAAGCTGAGTTAACATTTGCACATCACCTTTGAATGCTTCACACCCACCGTCATTGTGGGGAAACAACGGTGTTTGTGGCTGGCGGTTGGTGGGTGATTAAGTGCTGATTGTCACCTGGTTTCCATTGGTTGCTTCCCCAGGGACACTGGCCGACTTCTCTGTCTTCAGTTTTTGTTCAAAGTTCCACGGTGTCCTCCTGCTCATCACTGTGTCATGTCCCATGTGTGGACCTTTTTTTTTGTTAAAGTTTCTGTGCTTATGTGTTTCTAGTGTTTACTTTGACAGTTACAATAACATCACCAAAATAATAAGCATATAGCTTTGGAGAAAACGGAAAACGTGAGCAGAATAGGAGTCCCTGGAGTGTCGTTTGGACCAGGACCGAATGCCTTCCTCGACCACTAGTGCATCTGCGAGTCAGCAGGATGCTCACAAGAGGCTGTGTGGTCGTGAGATAGCGTCCTGCCACCTGGCCTGACCCCAGCTGGTGGGGTCAGCTGCAGCCCATGGTGACTGCACTGTCCGAGGATTGTGCCACTGGGCCCGGCCACCCTTGACCTGGGTGATTCAGCTCACACACTGAGCATGCTCGCTGGGCCCCAGATCTGACCCTGGAGGCGGTGCTGGAGCCCACCTATCCCCCATGGAGCTGATGGGAGGGCTGGGCCAGGCCCAGGGGATCACTCTCAGCCCCGCGGGGCCCTGGGTTTACTTGTAGGGGAAGACATTTCTTGTGCAGGGGAGAAGCAGGATCCTTTTCCTTGTTCTCGGTGCTGCCTTATCAGTCAGCAGTTTGAGAAACATCCTATAGTTTCCCACAGGAAAACACATGCTGCACTAGTAAGACCAGCTTGTTAAACTGAGCCCCCACCTCTGTGGCTGTGCTGTCAGAGCTCTTGGTTGGGATGCACATATGGAGTCGTGTGATGCTCCCCACCCTGCAGGTGGACCTGAAACTGGTCCTGGGCAGAGCCATGGGAGCAGAGGCTTCCAGACTGCCCAGGGTGGCAAACCCTGGACACCACCGCATGCACCAGTGACGGGGGGTTTGCAGGGATGTGTGGGACAACGGCCCACTGTGTTGGTCCTGTCGCGGATGGCCACGCTGCAGTCTGCCTCCTCACCGGCAGCCCTCGGCACAGACCGCTTCGAGCAATATCACTGTCCAAAGAGCAGCTTCCCCACGTGGCCACGGCCAGGGTCTGCCCATTGCGGGATGTGGACACTTACGTGGGATTTAAGGCTTTCCTCAATTTTTAGCGAAGAGTGGTTGGTCTTCACTACCTGTGCTGAGAGTTTTAAAATGGGAAGCCTAGGAAAAATGTTCTCGTTCAGGAGAGAGTTCTGTGAAGTTTCTTTCTTCCTCCATATGCATTTGTGGTGTTCACCTTACCACATTTCATCCAAAAAGATGATGCAGCTTTAACATGAATGTTACATTTTATTTTCAAGGAATTATTATCTATGTCCTCTTTGTAAAGGAAAGATAATATTGTAAATCTTTTTATTAAATAATGTAAAGATGTATATCTGTATTTTTGGATCATGTTATAGATGATGGATATATTGTTTAATGAATAAAGTATTTTTTGGAACAAACATTCACGAATGCTTTGTTTTGGGAAACGACACAACTTCAGTGGTGTGTCCAGAGAGGAGAAGCCTATCCCACGTTGAATTCCGAGGGGGAGACTTGAGTCACCGCTACGGGCCTGGGCAGGACCCCGGGCCTCACCTCAGACAGGGCACAGCTCTGGGCCTCAGATATGTCATGGCCTTAGAAGCTGGTCCCCAAGCTCACAAGAAGGTGTGTGCTTAGGAAGGGCGTGGTTGCCTTACAGACACATCAGTGGCTTCCTCTGGGGCAGAAGCTTGCCCTGCAGGCTGTGCAGGTGCCGAGGTCCCTGTGGGGACTGAATAGTTCTCAGGACAGTTCCTTGAGGAGTGTTACAGTCAGGGTCCAGGAACCCAGCTTGGTCCCCACAGTGAGAGGCACAGCCTGCACCGATTTTCCAGGTGAAGATGGGTTCGCTGCCCCGAGTCCTTGCTGGGCTGTGATTCTGGAGGAAGGACAGTGATGCTGCCCCCGTGTCTTCCTCTGAGAGCTCCAGGGGTGACTGCCGCCATTTGTTGGGGTGACTGGGAGTAGGAGGCACCAGCCTTTTGGGGGGCAGGGTGGTAATCTGCATTGGTTCTGAATTGTTGCTAACCCCCAGAGGCCCAGGATGCCGCTGGTCTACAGGTCAGCGTGAGGCCTGCAGCGATCAGGTGTGATTAGGCAACATTTGTCTGCAAGGCTCCACGGGCCGCTCCGCGGTTTCCTTCTCAGTGCCTGACTGTGTCACTGAAATGGGCAGACTGGACAGCTGGCAGGATGCCCACGGTAGACTGAGGAACAAGGCTATCCCAAAAGGAAGGGCCGAGTGGATGTCTCCGCAGCGTCCTCTCCCTGCCAGCACAGTCATCCCAAGGCAAAACGCATCCTTGACGGGAAGATGCAGCAGTGTGTTTCCTAACACAGCACCGTTACTTCACCTGTGAAGAAGGTGGGTATATCTTCAGGAACATGGTTTATTGAAGTGGAGGTGGTGCCTCCATTTGCGTTGCTGCTCCAGGTAAGGCAGTGTGACCAGAGCAAACCATCGTCTCTAGGTACGTGCCTGTAGCCACTGACTGGCCAGCGCTGGTTCTCCTGTGCACTCGTTGTCCTACTTGGCAGAGCCACCAGCACACCTCTGTGGTCGAGACCAGGGTTCTCTACACACTCTTGCTCCCTGCAGTCCTCGGGGCCTGGACCTTCCTCATCTCAGCATCCCAAGAGGCATCCCTCCTGCCTGCCTCCCCGAGGACACATGGAATTTGAGCTGCCTCAGTGGGACATGTGGGAGCGGGGGGAAGGTGATTCTACTCTGGGTACCAGCTGCCTCCTCAGTCAGCAAAGTAGAAAACCCTGTTCATTATTGTAACTATGTAATTTAGCATATTTCAGCGCTGAAAAAGCAAAAAGGGAGCACTGAGCTAAAGGAATAATTGGAGGAAGCAGCTACCACCCCCAAGCCTGGGGATGGGGGCAACGGGAGGAAGTGGGAGTGGGCGGATTTGGATTTGGCAGCTTGGAGGAGGGGCAGTGCTCGGCATTCCGAGCTCTGAGGAGGGCTGGCGGCCTGGCCTCCCGGGAGCGGGTGTAATGTCTCAGGAGCTCAGGGAAGGAGCTGCCCTATGGAGCTGGGCCTCCCCCGAGGAGCTGTGATGAAGCTGGGGTTAGGGCGACTGGTGAGGTGCTCCATAGGAACGTCAGGCTGGAAGCTTCCTCGCTCCCCTTTGTCCCCCTCGGGTGCCACAGGCTAGCAGAGCCTGACAGGCCCCATAGAGGACACGCTGGGGCTGAGGGGCGGCAGCCTGGCACTGGGCAGGCGCAAACCTGGAGGGGCTGAGGCGGCGCAGTCCTGACAGGCGGACTCTGCTTCCCTCCTGCTGTGGTTCTGCCCTGCCGCAGCGCCGCCCCGCAGCCCGGCCCAGCTCCTCTGAAGTCCCGGCACTTGAGACCCAGGACTGGGCCTTTGTTTCAGAAAATAATCCGGGGGAGCCAGAGTCCCCTGGGGACCCCGCAGTAGGACGAAGGAGTGGGCAGTTACCGTCTGAAGCCAGGCGGGATGGACACGTGGGACCAGCGCTCG